TTTTTTTGAGAAACCACCTTACCTATTTTTAGACATTTCAAATTCCCAAAATGTGAACTGTTGGGTGGTCTGCAATTTGGCCCTAAAACAACTCTGACTGGGCTTTCATGGCCTGTTTTTATCTGTACCATATGATTTTATTTCATAAGAACTTCATGTATTTGGACTGTAATAAACAACACAGGATCTAAATAATTCTGAAAAATCTTTTCAAGTACACTTATCTGCAGTCTTGGTTCTTACCTGTTACTCATAGTCACTTCTTTCCAGATTTTTGGCTCTTGTGAAAAATTATAGTAGGCTCTGGTTTTCACAACACAAAGAAAGGGGCCAAGTCTCTGCTAGGAGTAGCTTAAATTGTTTTTCCCAGGAAAAATTTAGTGGGTAAGAGGTTTATTACTCTGTCATAGTCAGTGAATCACTTAAGTCATCTGGTAGAACTAAATGAGGGCAGTTACCTGCTTCCCTCTTTAAATACAAGTGAAAGAAGGTATACATATATATATATATATATATGCAGATGTATATGTACATATAGACATATACATATAGACGTACATATATTTGAACTCTGTTCTGACTTCCTTCTAAATTTTGTTGATCCCATATAAAGACTTTTTTTAATGAAAAGAATTAAATTTTAGCTTATTCCTCAAGAGAAAGAGAAGGATCCTAAAGAGAAAAAAATTATTGTACCTTATGTATATCACAAACAAACCAAAATATGATACTTTTATTTTGTTTTATTCTAAATTATTGTATTATAGCTTTCTGAAACCATCTGAATTTAGTTGAAATTATCAGTATTTATACTTCTAATTTTTATTTCTAGATTCCAGCTTGAATATAAATCTTTTAGGCGAGGAGGGAAGGTAACTTTGAAAATCTGAGTTTTAAACTTGCATACACTAAGGTAAATAATACAGTCTAATCAAAAATAAGTTTCCCAGAAGTTTTGAACTTAATGATAATTATTCTTTTATTACTTCTACTGCTCATACATACCTCTTCGTTATTATTTGTGGCTAAAAAAAAAACCTTTTCATATTTTGTGTTTGTCATTGTCTCATATGTACAACTAACTTTTGGTGTTTAATAATTTAGGGTTTATAAAATTAAATTAAATTTTTAATTTTGACCATTTGGACTAAAAATTATATGAGGAATTACATGTGAAATGTATTTGTATTTCTTAATTTGCAAAAGAAGGGAAAAATGTTGGTAATATATAGCTCTAATTACCTCTTTGAAGAAAATTTCTGAATGATTGATAGCCAAATATCTTTATTATCATTTTCAACCTTATGTTTCTGCAAACCACAAAAAACTTAGAAGTTCAACCCCTGACTGCAGCTTCAGAATCCTTTTCCATGTTCATAACTATTTGAATTTCTTTTTTAAAAGTCACTTAAAAATGGTGTCTACTCTGAGATCCTGGTGTCCATAGGTTGAGGTTTTGGCTCATGTGGAAATTCTAAGTAGAACTTTTCCTATTCATCTGACTTTTGGGGAAGAGTTGGTGTTAATGCATGTTCAAGTGCATAAACGCCAGTGATTCTGAAACTAGACCTTGACCATGTTTTGTGGCAGTTAAAGGACTTACTCTGATAGAAGCTTGGCTTAAGGGCTTCTGAGGGGAAAATGATGAGCCCTATCCACTGTTGATACAGCTACTTCCCAGCTCTGAGCAAAAGGGACCGTTGGAAGATAAGATTAACCCTCATTTCATCTGATCCCTAAGGATTATGTTTGTGCATTTTGGCTTATTTTGTTGTTTTGTTTAAAATTATTAAATAATATACAGTTAAGTGTCAAGTTAGCATCTCTTAGAAAGTCACCAGTGCAGCAGAATTCTCTCTAAATATTTGAGCTCAGAGAAACACTTCCAATTTTCTAAATTCTTGTAGGCAGTTACTTTAGTGTTCAGGCCATTGTTCTGCCAAATCATCTGCGTGGGGGGATGAAGCTTTAAGGATGAAGTGAGGGGTAGGAGTGTGTTTCTTGAGCTGAAGCTGTTAGAGCAGGCCTGGAGTG